GTAGTAGCAGTAGTAGTAGTAGTAGTAGTAGTAAGTAGTAAGTAGTAAGTAGTAAGTAGTAAGTAGTAAGTAGTAAGTAGTAAGTAGTAAGTAGTAAGTAGTAGTAGTAAGTAGTAGTAGTAGTAAGTAGTAGTAGTAAGTAGTAGTAGTAGTAGTAGTAAGTAGTAGTAGTAAGTAGTAGTAGTAAGTAGTAGTAGTAGTAAGTAGTAGTAGTAGTAGTAGTAGTAGTAGTAGTGGTAGTAGTCGTAGTAGTAGAAGTAGTCGTCGTCGTAGTAGTAGTAGTAGTCGTCGTAGTAGTAGTAGTAGTAGTCCTCATAGTAGTAGTAGTACTCCTAATGATAGTAGTAGTAGTAGTAGTAGTAGTAGTGGTAGTGGTAGTGGTAGTAGTAGTTAGTAGTTAGTAGTTAGTAGTTAGTAGTTAGTAGTTAGTAGTTAGTAGTTAGTAGTTAGTAGTTAGTAGTTAGTAGTTAGTAGTTAGTAGTAGTAGCTAGGAGATGAGTAAGCTAGTAGTAGTAGCTAGTCGACTAGTAGACTAGTAGCTAGTAGACAGTCGCTAGTAGATAGAGCTAGAGTTAGTAGTAAGTAGTAAGTAGTAAGTAGTAAGTAGTAAGTAGTAAGTAGTAAGTAGTAAGTAGTAAGTAGAAAGTAGAAAGTAGAAAGTAGAAAGTAGAAAGTAGTAAGTAGTAAGTAGTAAGTAGTAAGTAGTAAGTAGTAAGTAGTAAGTAGTAAGTAGTAAGTAGTAATAGTAAGTAGTAAGTAGTAAGAGTAAGTAGTAATAGTAGTAAGTAGTAATAGTAATAGTAGTAGTAGTAGTAGTAGTAGTAGTCGTAGTGGTAGTGGTAGTGGTAGTGGTAGTGGTAGTGGTAAATAGTAAATAGTAAATAGTAATAGTAATAGTAATAGTAATAGTATTAGTAATAGTAGTAGTAGTAGTAGTAGTGGTAGTAGTAGTAGTAGTAGTGGTAGTGGTAGTGGTAGTGGTAGTGGTAGTGGTAGTGGTAGTGGTAGTGGTAGTGGTAGTAGTAGTAGTAGTAGTAGGAGTAGTAGTAGTAGTAGTAGTAGTGGTAGGAGTAGTAGTAGGAGTAGTAGTAGTAGTGGTAGTGGTAGTGGTAGTGGTAGTAGTAGTAGTAGTAGTGGTGGTAGTAGTAGCAGCAGTAGTAGTAGTAGTGGTAGTAGTAGTCGTCATAGTAGTAGTAGTCGTCATAGTAGTAGTAGTCGTAGTAGTAGTCGTCGTCGTCGTCGTCGGCGTGCTTGCGTTACAAACAGTCGCACCTTCTCTTGCCTCTCCCTCCTGTCTTTCCCCCCCTACCTTTCGCCCCCCCCTCTCAAGTTGTAAACTATGTTCAAATATGTTCAAAGCGCTACACATCTGCAATCAAGAAGCGCCAGAGAAAAACAAAGAAACCTATTGAACCTATTGCAAACTATGAATGACTATGAAGTCATGGGAAGGCCATTGGATCTTCATGCCGTCACTTAGGTTGTGGCTTGGTCTTCGACATATGTGTCAAGTCGTCTGCGCTCCATGGAGCGGAGATGGGCTTCCGCGTGTCTGTCTATTGGCTGATATTGGCTGCATTCAGAGGTCTTAAGGATTCTGAAGGTCTAAGGAAGCGAGAAATGGGAAGGCACCTGATCAACTTCAGAGCAAGTCGTAAGAGGGTCTCGTCCACATCTCACAAACTTGGGAGATGTTAAGCAGGTCCTCTTAGATTCACGTGCCATCATGCCGGTGTGGAAAAACTCGCGCTGTGTGCCTTCTCAGGTGATCGAAGATGCCTGCAAACCGCTGAGTGAAAGCGAGGTGCTGCCAACGAAGAAAGTCCTGAACGAGGCAACCCGGAGCTGTGTCGTTGCCGACTGGGGACTCCTCCTCCTTCAGTATAGTGTGCTGTGGTTGTGTGGTGCTGGATGTTTTGTAGTGTAGCCCAGCGGGTGGGGGAGCTTGTCCTGCGCAGTTGGGCACCAACTCAAAAGCAGGGCACTTTGGCCACGAGCCATTCTGGTGCAGAGAATTGGGCACTGAAGCCTAAACACCGTGTTGAAGTTTTGAAAAGGAAAGGAAACGAGCTAATCAGATCTTGCTTGAAATAGAATTCGAATTATTTGGATTCTTAAGTCATCCACAAGTCCCATGTCAACTGCCTCCTTTCAAGAGTGGACACACCATTTCTATTTCTATCCATTTCTGTCAATGCAGTGGCTCCGGCCCCTTCCAGATCCTTCCAGATCCTTGCAGGCTGGTGTGCGAGTCCTGTCATCAGCCCAAGCTACTGAAGAGGTCAAGCAGCTCGCGGCTGCTGGGAACATCGTCCCTAGCCCAGAGTACCGGAATTCATGGAAGCTCTAACATAGATGCACAGTTTCTTTGAGAGCCTCATCCGAGGCTTTGGGAGACTTCATTCACCAAGTGGCAAATCACAAACACGCGGCCATTCTGCACCGAGCAGAATCACTGTCCTCTCATTGTCCTGCCCCATAGTTGCAAAGACGATTGATTGTAGGCCTGCTCGAATGCTGAAAAAGGTGCTCTGGCTGTCAGCACCCACCATCAGATCATCAGCGCAGCAATGTTTTTCATCAACTTGTCATTGGCCGCAGACTTCAGACACATCAGGCCTTCCTTCTGTCACGACCTTGGTAGAAACATGGAAGGCTACTTTTGTGCCGAGGCCAGAACCTGCTCAACTGTGCAGATCAGTATGGCTCCAGGGAACTTGTGAGAACTTGAGGCTTGAGAGTAAGTGTCAAGATCTATCAAGCAAATTCCATCAATTGCAAAGGCCTCACTTTGATGTGGCTTAGCATTCTTCTCGGTCTGGACTCGTGTCACATGTGAATGATATTTCACATTGTCACATCATTTGGGACATCCTGCTTCGTCCTACGAATATATGCCCTCTAGGCCCTTAATGTCTCGGAACGTTTGGTTTTTGGCTCCGTGTGTCAGGCACGCGCAAGCCTATGCTATGCCGATGCTTTTAAAACAGAACCAGCTGCCAGGTGCCAAAATCTTCCCCAACGGCTTCAGACATGTAATTGTATTTTTCTGATGCCCTGCAGCACAGCCTCAAGGGCCACACGGGACCTGAAATCCTTGCCTTGCCATAAGCACCTTATGATCCCTGAAATTGTTTTTTCCATGGGCCAAATGATGTCATGTGATTTGGAGAAGTTCATTGTGTCAAGCTCACAATGACATCACCATACTTTATATGATGGTCTTGGTAGGGGATCATCCCAAAGATATTTTATGTCAGGTTGTATAGTCGGTTGCTCAGATGTGAAGGCTGTCTGAGGGTTTGTGCGGCTCAGTCAGGTTGACTTTCTGGATGGATTTGGTTGAGGCTGGGTGCTGCGCACAAACACACAGAGTGGCATTTGTGAGGTTGTTTCTGCTTCAAATCAAGGTTTGTTTTGGGTTTGAAAGTTCAAAGCTGATGTCAGTGATGTGGGCCAACATATTGTGCTGACTGTTCATTCATTTTGATCTCCGCAACGCTGTAGACGACTTTACGTCTCAAACCCATGCGATGGCGCGCGCAGGGGCTGTAATGTACCTTCAGATCTTGCTGATTGCACTGATTGCAGGTCTTGTAGGCCTAGGCCCAGTCGCAGCGGAGCTCACATGTTTGCCGAACGCCACTGATGAGCTGGACCGGAAGCAGCTGGTAAATTTGGTGGCGGGCAAGTCCTACTCCATCGGACTCTCGCGCAATGGCGACTATCCATCGGCCCGCCACAGGAGACGAATAATCAGATCATAATAATATATAATAAGGTCCTAATATACTAATGTAAAGTGAAGCCACACGAACCATGTCAAACCAAGAGGAAACTGGAACCGCACAAGAAGTGGTCACTGGTGCCATGCGCTGCCCATTTACACCCCGAATCAGTAGGACACGGGGTCCCAAGTAATTTCGTATGCCACTTGCAGACAGTAGGGTTCAGGACCTAATCATGTTCACGACAAATAGTTGCAACATATGGGTCAACCGTAGTGGTTTGCCGGGAAGCAAGAAATGCTTCTGAGTGTTCTTTGTGTGTGGTGGTCGGGTGGGGTGTAATAACGTTCTTTGCTTATTTTGTTTGCATTCCACGCAGAAATTTCTTCAAGTCACCTGCGAGCATCCTCGATGGTTCGGCGGCGGTCTTTTTTCTCTGCTCAGCTTGGAACTTCAGTCAGCCATGACGTGTCTTTGAAGGCACTTCCCGGCGAACATCCATCGTGCTCCATGCTCACCACGACCTGTCGTTCTCGATCATCACTTATGGATCAATATGGATCGATTCAACATCCCCGCATAGTCATGAACGTCCGTGATTGCCATGTCAAGCCAGGCAATGATTGTACGCAAATAAGGCCACCGGGAAACTGCAGGCTGCCAAGAAACCTTGCCACTCATACGGCAAGCGATGAGAAGAACCAAGCATTCGAAAACAGCAGCGAAACTCAACATTGCTCCATGTCAAGACTTTATGTACTGCTGAACTGTCTTCAAACTTCCGTTTTCTTCTCAGATGTATCAACCACATAGCAACCATTTTTCCGCCAAATTTGGCGGAAAAAATGTCTTCACAACACATGGGCGTGCAGTATGAAAATCAACTATGAAGCTAAGACATCATTACATTGAAACAGCTCAAGAAAACATTAAAAAATACCAGTAAAAATTGCTCCCACCAAACGGCTGCAGATACAAATGCGCAAACTTCACTTCTGATAAATTTCTCGAAAACAATTGAAAGTCTCGGCAAACCTGTGCGGCAAACCCAAGATTTTGCAACGAATGTTTGTAGAGCTTGGCCGGTCCATATTGAATGCATATTGGATGATATTAGGTGCTCTCAAAATGACGCTGGAGAGCAGGAGAGGATTGGCTACAAAGTGGAGCTGAAAGGCCCAGGAGCGTTGACGCTGGATGGTTTCTTTGCCTTGATGGGTTGCTTTCAGCCCTTGAACAGCACAGACCGCGGCTGCGGACCGAGTGTTACCTATGTCCACATCAATGTGGACGTGTGGACGGAAGGGTATGCTGAAAACTGGGTTCAAATCCAAGCCAACTATCCCAACAAGGCACCGAAGCCCCAAAGGAAGCCACCCAGTCCTGGTCCTGGCAGACCCAGCCCACCGTGGGCGCCCTGCCGACAGCAGCTACAAGGAGAAACGGCTCTACAACTTCTTGGGGCGACTCCTCGAACACCAACGGCAAGGACCCACAGCCACTCACCTGTGGGGCCGCACACAGTGTTTTGTTTCTGTTTTGTATTTTTAATAGTTGCTATTTTTTCCACATTGCGAGCATTCAACAGGATGACCAGACGATACCACTCAAGGTCAAGCCTGCGTTCAGCGAAGTGGAAGGCACCTGAATGTACTGTGAGCTTTCATTGAGTATGACAGGATGCAGCCACTGATTGCTTTGATGAAACTTGTCACCAGACCATGCCAGATTGAAGTCACTCCTTCAGTTCGTAAGGTGCGCAGGGGCTTCTGGAACTTGAAAGCGCCTATCTTCGCGGGAAGATTGGGACCATGAATTCCTACGAAGCTCAATGTGACATAGTTTTTTTTGGATCAGCGAGGGGGAAGGGCTAAGTAGGCCCTTAAACTACGTCAGAGGGCAGCTCCATATTTGAGGATGTGGTGACCATCCTGAATTTCATCAACATCGTTGCGGCCGACTTCCATGATGAGAACCGGATGGCTTCGAACTCCACACTCAGCCAGCTGTCGCAGCGCTCCAGCATTTTACCGGGTCGTGTGCAGCTTGCAGCCTTGAACGCAAGCCTCGATAAGACCGATGCGACGCCCAGCGCCCGGGCTTCAAAGGTTTGAGACCTGTGAGTGAGAGCTAGAGAAACAAGTGCCAAACACCACACCAGGAAGCATGTTTGAGCTGCTGCGTGGCTGTGGCACAGCTAGAGCCACATCCGAGTTTTCCAATGTTTTCCATAGGTGTGTGGCAACGTGTTTCATCGCTCAGATATGTTGTGAGGTTTCCCCCTACTTTCGTCTGGCCAATGTTCTCATCCTCCATTCCGTTGTTTCCCTTGGGCATCCCTGTGATAGACAGTTTGAATCAGTTTGAGTGTGTGTGTTGACGAGAACAAGTCCAAGCCTTCAAGCCTTGGCAGCGTCTTGTAAAGATAAAGCAAGAGCAGCCGTTTGGTCCCAAGGTAGGCTTTCAAACAAATTGTGCGGCCATGCTGCTGTCCATCAAGGCAAAACAACATGCGCAAGCTGCAGATCACCTGCCCTAGATCGACATGGTTGAACTATGGTGAAGTAGGATCGGTCTAAGTTGCGAGTATATAGCTGGTTTGCCGTCCTGCTTTTTTTAGGGAGGGACCAAGTTGTAACAAAAACGAGCAAACCACAAAGAATGCAGATTGAAAATTCGGGCCATTCTTAACTTCTTAACCTGCATTTTGTGGTGTAAGAAGATGTCAGTTGTTCTCGGCGCCTTCCCTAGATTTCCATTTTCCGAGACGGCTGATATTTCAGAATAATTCTTCAATCGCTTTTGTTAAATAAACAAGGGACAACATTATATATCTTATGTGAGACTGTTTCCAGTTTAAAACAAGTCTTAGTGGGCTTTTTTTTTGTGAACTTTCTGTGTTCCCAGACGGCTTCCATGTTGATCCATGTTGGACTAATGATGTCCTTTTTCCCCGACGATCCCCTAACAAGTCTTCAACAAGTATCGATTTGCCAGCAGACGCATAGTAACAAGAATGGAACATTATTATCCGTGGGTGGCTTTCATGCCAATCACTCCCAGAACAATTGTCCCAAATCGTGGACCAGCACCTCAGCAAACAACTTTTCCAAAATAACATTGTGGGCCTTGCTCTTCTCACATGACGAAACCTGCTACTTACAATTTCTGTGTGAAATTAATAGGGCTGTTCGTCTTTAGTTGTAGGTGAAGTGTTCTTTGCATTGCTTTTGGGGTTCTTCAGCCTTTGCATTTTGCGGCAGAACTAGCCTAGTTTTGGTGCTGATTGAAAATTAGATGCAAATTAGCTATGATTCTGAAGGGGGGTTAGGCGCGTGGGTTTTGACATGTTTTGAGGCAAACATGTAAGTCAGTTTTTTATTCTGAAACTTCATATATTATATATATATTATTCACATATATATTATATACATATATATTATTCACATATATATATATAATACATATATACACACACATATATATATATATTATACATATATATTGTTGTTGCACAGTCTTAGTGTACACTTTAGCTTTTCACCTCTCCTTACTTTGTGGCAATGGCTCAAGAAACAGTGTGTAGCTGACTAACTTGTTTTGTGGTGTTTACCGGCTTTCATACCTTTTCTACAGGTTATCAGCCGTATCGCCAAGCGATCGCTGGTTTCCTTTTGTCTCACCTTTTCGCTTTTCCCTCCTTGCTTCGCCATGTCCACTCCCCCTGCGCTCCCTGCCCCGGGCGGGAACGCCACGGCTGCATTGGCTTTGGTGACAGCATCACAACCGGAGGAAGTGGTAATCCATTCAGGCGCGGCAACAACAGAAGGTGACATGAGTTACCTGGATGAGGACTTTGACCCATGCCGATCTGATCCACGCAGGAACATGCCAGGTGTCTTGGACTCAAACATTGACATCAGTCAGCTCAACACCATTAACTTTAACAGTGTTGATCAGCGTACCGCCCACGTGGCAGTGGTACAACAAGGCCTTGATCCAAACCTGGCGAACCAACTCATGGCTGCTCAGCAGCAGGCGTTGCAGAGTGAGGCAAATGTACGTCACTCTGAGGTCATGGAACGTCAACGAATGGAGCTTGTGAGTGAAGCTCGAGATCAACTTGCAAGCGTTGAACAACAAGCAGCCGAAGAAATTTCCAGGAGAAACCTTTTGTTGAACGAGCAAGCCGCCCAGGCGATGAGTGAGCAGAAATCTGCTCAACTGCAGGTTACAGCGCAGGATCATCGCATCAGGGAACTGAGTGCCGAACTGACTCATGTGGTCAACAATGCAGGTGTTTTGACATCGTCTGCGGAGAAGTCAAATGCTGATCTGCAGGCAGCACGTTCGGAACTTGCCGAGTATCGCACTCAGATTGATGCAATGAATCAACACGCTTTGAACATGCAGAAGTTGGCCGAATCTCAGAAGAAGGACTTCGAGGCAGAGATTGAGAAGCTTCGAAAGGAGCAGAGAGAGCTCATCCGGAATCTAAAGTCTCAACCTCTGGAGGGAACTCCTGGACTCATGATTCGTTATGGACCCGGAAAACCCATTCCACAATCCTCGAAGCCCACAGGTCCTATCATTGAGGAGTTAGCTTCGGGAAGCAAGAAGCCTCAGCATTCATCCGATGCTGACGATGAGCATTTACTGGCAGAACCTTCGAAGCCTCCGGGACTTCCCGGTGGTGGACCTCCAGGAGATGACGATGATGACGGGGACTTCAACGACAAGAGAAGTCGCAAGGACAAGAAAGACAAGAAGAAGGATCGCAAAACCAGTCGTGGCCGATCGAGACGACGACGTCGTAGAGATCCTTCATCTTCACCTTCATCATCTACATCCCCTACTACGTCAAGTTCGGATTCTGAGAGTTCCTTTGCACGAAAGGTCAAAAGGGCCTTAGAGCGTTCTAGGACTACTGATAATAAGGCCAAAGAGTCTGATAGGATCCTAGTTCCTAAGTTCCCTCAACCCGAAAATTATAGGAATTGGAGAATCCGAGTAAGGGATGCCATTATTGCTGCTTCTGCCAAACCCGACCTAGCTTTTCAGTGGGTTGAAGAAGTTTTCAGGACAGACCAGTCTGTCGATGCCTTGAAGGACTCAGGTAAATTCGTGACCCTGGACGCAAAGCTCATGTCTTCGCTCACCAACATCTGCAACTTGACATCTTTAAAGAAGAACAAGCCAAGTCAGGGACACCAGCTAGGGGACGTCAAGCATTGCTCATGATTCACAAACACTTTAGTACAAGTAGGAAACATGGTGCGGTGTACGACATTGAGGACCTCATGGCTGTTACCTTAGTCAATGATGATCTCAGAGGTTTCATCACCCGATGGGACGCTGTGATCGCTGGAATGACTTCCGAGCCTGACATGATGTGGAAGCAAGCATACTTTCACAATGCCATCAAGAACTTCAAGCCTCTCTCTCATGATCTGGCTGTGTATGATCGCACACCGGAGGGGGAACCCAACCGCTCTTATGATTTTCTCATGAAAGCTGCAAGGGACTACCTAGAGAGGAGACGTCTTGAGAAGATGCGCCAGGCTACCAAGAAGTCTGTTTCAGGCAAAAGAGATGCTACGCCAGCACCCACGCGACCGCCATCTGCGGGAAAGCCCACTGGCATTTGCTACGACTTCCAGGCTGGCAAGTGTACCAGGGGAAAGGATTGCCGATACAAACATGAAAAGTCAGACAAAGGAAAAGGCGGAGGTAAGAAAGGCAAGTCTAGGTCCAAGTCAAGGGGCAATAGTCGGTCTTTGTCTCCAGGATCTAGGAACCAAGTGTGCAAGTTTTGGAAGGCAGGTAAGTGTCAGCGAGGTAATGACTGTGCTTTCCAACACCCACCAAAACCTGCAGCTGCATCTACAAAAGATGACAAGCGTGGAAAGAGCCAGAAAAAGAAGAAGAACAAGAAGAAAGGCGATCGCTCCAGATCGTCAAGTCGAGGTTCCAACTCCTCGAGGGGCTCACAGAGTCTCAAGGACAAAGGGGGAAAACCATCTTCCTCTGGCTCAGCTGCAGTTTGCCTGATGCGCGCTCTGATGATGGTCGCAGTCGTCAACCCTTCGACCAGCACTCATCGCGTGCCGGAAGGCATCGCCTCTCCGCATTGTTTCAACCAGCATTTTGCCATGCCAGTTACACCCAATCGCACTGTTTCATTTGGGGGCAACGATGAAATCTTCGAAGTTCCCATTGAGCAAAATTGTAATTTATATCCGTGCCAAGCCAAACAACGAACTTTCAATCCAGTTCGCATCACCAAGGACGATCGTACTCGTAAAGATACGATCGAAGCACGAGAAAGTGATGCAATACTTGCAGCACAAATGTTGCAATCAGCTGTCTTTCGGGAGTTGCATGGCAAACTTTGCAAATGCAGCTTTGAATGTGACAGTGATATCGGCTGTCGCCACTGCATCCGATCCGATTTGAATGCATTGCCAGGACACATGCCATCTCAGCAGCGTAATGCATCCGCCGAGATTGCATGGATTGCCGACACTGGTAGTGCACAAGACTTAGTTTGCAGCAAGATGATTCCCGATGACATTGTGTATCACTCTCATGAACCCCTTGAATTAATCACTGCAAATGGTTCCCAATCAGCTGACCAACAAGCTTCTGTTCACATTGATTGCATCGACAAAGAAGTTCATCCATATGTTCTTCCCGATACCCCAGCTGTAATATCGGTAGGGATGAGATCAGTGTGGTTTCGGTTCGGTTCGGTTCGGTTTCGGTTTCTAGTATTTGCTATAGGCCCGGTTCGGTTCATGTTCGGTTTCGGTTCCTGCAGTTCCTGGTCGATTTCGGTTCGGTTCGGTTCGGTGTTTGGAACATTCTACATTGATATTTGCTTTTTTTCCGGGGCCGGAAAAGCAAATACAGATTGCTTCCTGCAAGAGGTTTATTGCTTCCCGCAAGAGGTTTCATGAGCCGCGGCTTTCAAAGAGCGGAGAGAGCTGAACTCGGAAAACCAAAGCTTCCTGAAATTGCCAGTGCATGCAATTTATTATGAAGAAACCCATATTTGCTTTTTTCATTGAACTCAAAAAACAATTACGACA